GATCCCACATGAGGGCCAGTGATGCTGCGCCCTCTACAGCTAAGATGGTGAACAACAGCTTGACCTGAGCTGGGCTGCCGTGAGTTGCCAGCGATGGCGTAGGCTGCAGTGGGGCTGACCGGTAGCTGGTGTGAGCTTTTGTGAGCTGCTGTGAGCCGCTATGAGTGGCCATCCAATGGCCGGCAAGCAACTGCCTCACCAGGAAGAGCGCAATAATAATACCAACATGGGCCAGTGAAGCGACATCCTCCACAACTAGACTGAAGAATAAAAGGACAGCAACTAGTCTGTTCCCCTTCCCTAATTCCCCAATACAATCTTAAAAAAAAAAGTCAAGAAAACATTTTGAGCAACTGAAGGGGCAAAATGGGGACTAGGAAGTAATGAGAGGCTAGTGTCAAGCCAAAAAAGTGAGAAAGAAGGAGAAAAAGAGAGATTGTTGTAGGAACTAAAGGTAACCCATTATGGAATTCATTGCAAGAGATATCTGCCATATAGAGAAAAGAGAAGACCATTTCGTTAGCTGGATGTTTGCGAGAGATTGGTTATTGGTGACTGGATCTGTAACGTTCAGTCAAAAAGTTTTGATGAAGCAACAACTGTACATAAGGCCTCTTGCTTCCTGTGTGACATCTTTCCTCCCTAGGCCTTCACCTATATACCTGTTTAGACAAAGAAAGTCAGCAGAGATGGTTGAACAGGATGCTTTGTCCACAAAGCTCTAGAATTCTTTTTCTTTTTTTCTGGGCCAAGTTCGCTAGGGCTTCTCAGAGGCTGTATCAGGCTGGATCCCTATAAGGTAGGACTGTCGTTTGAACTTTCTGCCTCCCAATCTTGTTTCTACCAGATAGGATTATTTCAGCTGCAAATTGACCGGAAGCCCAACTGAAGCCAGTTTAAGCATAAAAGTAATTTATTGGCTCACAGTGCTGGAAACTCATGCGTGGTCGTGTTCCTCACATGGTATCACCAGGGTCCTGATTTCCCTCTTGGTTCTACTTCCCCTGAATTGTCTCCATTTTCAAATCTACTCTTCCCCGTGGCAGCTTCAGACTCATCGCCTTTCAATCCCCAGTTTGAATAGAGACAATGTCTACCTAAGGGTGAGCTCCCACACACACCCGAGAAGTCATGCTGATTGAACTGGTTTGGGTCCAATGCCTGCTCTTGAACCAAAGGCTGTGGCCAGAGGGATTAAATTGTGCTGATTGGTCAGGACTGGGCCACATGCTTATCCCTGCCAGAGCCTTGTGGACTGGGGAGTTTGGGACCGTGTAACCAGGAGACAGGGGGATGGATGGTGGTTAGCCCCAAATTAATACTGGGCTACCCTGGGCTCAGTGAAACCTAGGAGGAAACCTGGGTTTCTGATCAAAAAACAAGAAAAGGCCAGAGGGGCAAAAAAGAATTCCAATCCAGAGATGGCCCCGGGATTGAGGAACTAATCCATGCAGCTCCCTCCCTGCCCACTCAGCATGTCCTTTGTTCCCTGGGCTGACCCCCGATTTTGTATAATCCTGGTACATAGTTACTTTCAGGAGATTATGGGGTGGAGGTGGGGTGTGGGGGTGGGGGTGGAATACTCAACTTCCTGTTTAGGATTACTCTCTTAACCCCCTCCTCCTCCCACACAGGCCATATGTTCGTTCTAAGCCTCAGCATCCAGCCAGAAAAGCCCTTTGTGTTTTCTAGCCAAAACTAGGGCCCAGTAATTAAAGTCCATATGCAAAGCTGCTACCTCCAGCCCACACCGAGGTCTTTTAATTAGTATGTAATTGGTCAGAGAGGTACTATCAAATAGCTCCCAGGCTGGCTGGCTGGAAATGCGATGTTTGAAAAGTCCCAGACCAGAGAGGGATAATAAATGCTTTAAGTCCCATCTGTTGGAATGATTTGTTTAAGGTATAAATTTCTCTTCTGTTACTATTTTTAACGGTTCTGCTTATAGCATTTCTTCAAACCATGTAACAACGACCAGCGTATTCACTGGAGGTAGGAGTGTGAGTAAATGGACTAGGAGAAGGCTCCGCAAATCCATGTTTTGCCCTTCAGAGAAATTCATAAGATGCGGTGGGGATGGGGAGGGGAAGAAGCGAGCTGCGTGTGCTTTGAGTGGCTCCTCAGGAACTTTGGGGTGGTGTCCATGCATGAGAACAACCATCAGGAAATCAGCCCCTTAGCAGTTAGCGGGCTTTGAAGTCAATAGCAGCCGAGTCCTTTTAGCACTGACCGGAAAGCACCATGTGACAGCCTGTGTCCGTGAGAGAAAGGACTTTGAATTCACCTTGGTAGGTAAGTCATCAACGGTGGAGAAGCAGAGGGAATAAGAAGCCGGGAGATCTCACTGCCCTCTGGGCGTGGTGCCGACAAGAGTGAAGCTGGAGTAATAGTAATAATAATAATAATAATAATAATAATAATAATAATAATGGTGAACATCATTATAGTAGCAGCAATAACAATGACCCTGTCATCATGGCAGCCAGCACTTACCTTACCGTACGCTCGCTCTGCACCTGGCACTGTGCTCCGTGCTTTACATGAACTGTCCATCTGATTATCACACTGATCGATAAGGTTGGTACTGTTGCTCCCTCTGTTTTCTAGGTGGGGCATCTAAGACTCTGGTGGCCTCACTAACTTGCTCAAGGTCACTCGCTAGGAAGTGGCAGCGCTGGGGTTTGCACCTCACAAGCCGACTCCAGCATGGAGCGTGGGCTCTTAACCCGCACGTTTGCTGCCTCCTCTCAAGTGTCACTGGGTGCCTTGGTTTTGCTTGAAGACTATTCCATGGAAGAAGAGCCCCTTACAGGTTCTTTTTATTTTCTTAGCCCTTTGGGCAAACCTGTAGGCAAAACTTGAGGCTTAGAAACGCAGGTGGCTATGCACATGGCACTCTAGGAGAAAGAGTCTCAGCTCCCTCTCAGCTCCGGTGTCTTCCCAGCTGACACTCACTGTGGAAGTAAGAAGTGTGATGCCCCCAGGACCACACCCAGAGGAGGGGTGAGACTGTGTCGGGGGAGGTATATGGAGCATT